TTTTCAATGTCACACAGCTTATGGATATTGTGATTATTACCTGTATTCCGCTCTGTAACCCGCACCCAATACATGTTCCTCCTCTGGTATATGACGGAACTAGACTTGATAAATTGTCACGTGTGGTGTTGGAGGTAAGTTCTATGAGATTTGAGACGATGGTTGCATGCGATTCAAACTCGACTATTCCAACAAAATGCCCATCAGGAACAGTGTACTTAATAAACTTGGTGGCAAGTGAATTCAAAATACCAATTCGATTATTCTGTAATTAAGCGCGTCAAGATACCATTCATTGACGAAGATTATAAATTAATTATCAAAATTAGAAAAAGCCACTTTATAGTGAGTATTATGATATTAATATTATTAATTCAAATAAAATGATAACTATCATTATATCGCTATTACTCACAGAATTCATACTACCCGAAACATCGAGTACCAACACAATTCGTAGTGGGGAGGTTTTTACAATAATAAAGTCTGGTGTTGTGTCCAATACATAACGTGGTGGATTATTGCCGTCAATAAAGTCAGGTGACTGTGACATAACATCCCATGCACTCCTTTGAGAACATTTGATGTTTTGTTGATTTGGTGCCATGCTGTTGTGTAAAGAAAATGGGTCGCCACTGGCGTTGCTATGGCAGAACTCTGTGACCTGTAACAAGAAACAAGAATTATAGTTGTCAAAGACTGTGACGAGATTTACGTGTAAAATGTAGTTAAATATTAACTATAAAATGCGGGTGTTTGAAATATCCATTTCAGGCAAAGCGATTTCGTAGATTTGTAAATAGAAATCATTTGATTGTGACTCGGAATGATATATGACTGTTGACATATGTGAAGCAGGATGTCAACACATTTTACGAATCACCTGACATCACTCAATGTAAACCATGTGGTTCATATAAGCTGTGAACTGAGAATCGACGATCCTCTTTCAAAGGCCTCCCAAACGAGTTCGAGTAATATATAAGTCAGGAAACTGGAATTTAGCAATATTGGAAGGATGCTATGTTTTCTGGCCTACGTAATACCGACGCAACATAAGACCATCGTGCAGCCGTATTACAACAATCCGTAACATAATAATACTATATCACGAGTGTTATTATTTGTAATATGTATGGGGATATTACAATTTACAGATGATTTTACTTACAGTGTCCAAGAAATTCATGTGCATATACGAGCCTGTTGCATTTTGCTTATTTACATCAAGTTCAGGGTAAAACCGACACCATTTATTTGGCAAAACTCCATTTTCTGGTTTACGATTGCATCTTTTACCATTTCTCCAATTCAATGCTATCCCAGACACATGTCTAGAGCACCTTGTCGGCTCAACATGTCTGTTTTCGTTCAAGTAGAAGTGACTTTTATCATCGGTGGCATACTCGTCAAACAGTCCCCAACGTAAATGCCCCCACTCGTGTACAAGTACTTTGCCTATAAACCGAAAAGTTGTTACAAAACAAGATTCAACAGGGTACATAAAAGTTAACGACATTGGCAGCTCTCGCTTCCTTTTTTATTTTTGATGCAGGATTGCTGCCGTTCAATGTTGACGGCAACAATCAAAATTAATTAAGCTGCGTGAAATGACTGTGAGTGACAGAATTATGTATTTTTACTGTTTTAGGGGCTATAGGAAGATACACAGTTACACAGTTATGTAAGGGTTGCATCGCCTCTTTGTGTTCTCTGTATGACTCCAGCACATCTCTTGTAAATGATATCAATTGGTTTAATATCTGAGGTTTTTCAAGCGACTTGCAGCTTTTCACATCAGATACATCTTAGTGTTGTGTTTTCAACAAGTGGCTCCTGACAAATGCGTACCCCGTTCGATTCGATCTTGCGTAATCATAAATTCGGATTAAGCAAAAGTCCAACTCAAAAACAAAACAAAAATCACATTGTCCTTGAAAGGAATGTGGCATTATTAAATTTGGAATTTAAGAGCAATAATACTGCCATGATAAATACAATACTAGTAGAGCAATATATTAGGAAAGAATACTTAATTTACTCCAGTAATTTCATTTTATTGGAATGCGTATTTCAGACCAATCTTTGCCCTGAATGCCTGCTGCATTATGAATCAAAATTAATATCATGAGAGAAGTTTTTTGGTATACGTTTGTAGAGACCTATAACAGATTAAACTCCTGTTCCTATTTGACATTGTTGAAATACTTTATTTAATATTTGACTCCATTTCCATGAGCTTTCAAAATATATATGTACTACATTGTGTGATTAACTTTAATCAGTTAAAATGCTCAGGCATACATCAAAAACAATATTGTTTAAAAGGCTAATTATATAATACAATAAACTGATCTTCACATAGTACGTTTCATTGGCCGTTTTTTTCGCAACAAACATCCGAATGAAAATAAAATATAAGCATGGGGTCATCGTACAGCAGTTCGTACAAAATAGAGTGATAACATATTGTGTATGTTTTTAGGGCATTTTACCATTGTTTCCAATGTCAAAGATATATCTCAATATCTCAAAATTGTGTTCAGTGTCATATAGTAAAAAAATGATACACAGCGTCTAACAAAGTACTTTTTGATGTATTTACAAATAACACTATTTCAATTCATTGGGCTAATGACGAAATGTTTGTTTATTGTAGTCAACAGAAACCGCTGTCAAATTGCCATTCTCTGCATATTATTTGACAGTTTTGACAGATTGATGCTAAAATGATTAATTATAACAGATTTGGACACAAAACATAAACAAAAACACCTGATCAAATAAGAATCCTAGAAAGTATTGCTTCAAATCAAGTAGGATCACATACTGTGTTTCATTAAAAAATACAAATTATAATTAAAGTGGATATTCAAATTATAAATTTGGTTTCAACGGTGAATCAAAATACAACCATGAGCAGAAGCAATAATACTTTCCGGGGGTGACTGCGATGAGAATGTCATATCAAATACAAAATATCAGCACGGCTACTGGAATACAACTCCAGTCCTCAATGGTCATAAAAGGTATGAGGGAGGACGAACTGGAGGAAAATAGACGAAGCGGAGCTTCAATGAATTAACAGAGTCGATTATTGGTCCTACTGTCGACCAAAATGTAAGTATCCGACTGTCACAGTAGTTGTGATAAATACGGTAAATATCGTGTTGCTGCTATTGCACAGATGATTATGTCTAAATCCTACTTGGGTGGATGGACTTTATAATACTCTATTCGAATTAAGTTGTTGTAAAAACAGTTGAAAAAAATAATGTCAAGGAAAGAAGGTAGATTATATTGCGATTAACTAATGCGTGGCATAGTTACTTAGGTATTCAGGAATGCCGGAACTCCCTAAACTCTAGTGAAATGTACAGCGTTGACGCACGACGCGAAGTACGAATTTAGCCTACTGAATACAGCGGTAATGCATAAACACAAAATAAAATAAATTTACCTGGATTTCCATACGTGTACCAGACCCAGTCAAAATCAGACAGAAACCTTTCAGTGAAATGTATGTACTCTCCTGCCTCGCCACATGGTGCAAACTGGTTGGTGTACGGATTGTCATCATATTCAGCGTTCGCTTTATCCACAATAATATTTGCACTGTCAAATATTTCTGATGTTGCTGAAATATTCGTAATAGCATCACTCCATGTCTTAGGTACCAAGATAGTTATTTCTTTCATGTAAGCCCGATTATGGGTTGCTTGGTACATTTCCCGGGAGGCGCTAGTGAACATCTCCTGTTTCAAAGAAATAATGGTGAGATTAGTTGCGTAATACTAATAACAAGTTTCTAGGTTGAACAATATACGTTAAACAATATACGAAATATACACAGTATGTATCCATACTGTGACGTAGGAAGAGGAAGGGTATAAAGGTTCTTAATGTCACAACCCTATCTCCGCGTTGGTCAATTGGAATTCTGACAGGCACTTTAAAAATAACGATTTATTAAATCACTATTTTTTCTTTTTGTCACGCACTATATGAATGATAAATTTATATAAATACGTCGTCATCTTGAAACTATTGTTTGTCTTTGACATTTATGGCGTTGACGTACGGTAAATGCTATATATATACATTCCGTAATGAAACAGTGTGTAAATAACGTGCGGACATGTTCGAACGTGTTTATAATCACTGACGCATTACTTACAAAAAAGAACATGAAATAATTAGTCCTGCTTAGTGTGTATGATGTGCATGTACTTGTCAGTTTGTTTTTTGTGGATTGTTTTGTCGATGTTGTCAGTAGTTTTATTTGTGTTTGGGACTTGTAAATTTTCTTTCTGCGACTTGTGTTTAACAGATATAGATGTGTTAGTTCCGCTTTACATTAAGCCAAGCACGCATTCGAATATAGGATAAAACACTACAAAACAATTCAATTTACAAATATGGGGCTTGGAAGTGGAGAGGAGACAAAACGCATTTTTATTTAGTCTCATTTGATGAAATTATCGGATTTATCTGTTTGATGGAATATTCCCATTACAGCTCAAAATATCATATATACGAACTGAAAATGTTTAAGACTTTACCTTCAAGTTTTCAATCAAAGTAACATTTTCCGCCACATTTTCATTGATTGCGATAAGGATGCCTTTATATCCATTGTCTTCAAGCCGAATCTCTGAGCGAGGTAAAGCTGCCTTGCTACCATTCAGGTTAAAGATAAGTAAAAATGAAACAAGATATCGTAGACAATGCATCGTCCTTTTCTTGTTACGATCAGCTGTATACATATAAATTTCTCTGTTGTAACAACCTCTTATAAGTCACATATACACCGGGGGATTCACACCTAACCAGTTACAATGTCAGTCTTAGCCTAGTGTGTATATTTCTAATAATATGTAATATGTATAATGATAAAAAATTCATGCTATGCTAAATAACCATTCAAAGTCATAGTCCATTAACATAGTTATATAAATTATTCATCCTGAAATAACAAGGAGCACACACGTGAATGTGACCCCCTAATCAACTGACAAAAATAACCGTTAACCGTTGCCAGACAATTAAACACGCTTCCGCTTATTGAGCTAGTTTTGTTTATTACCAAATACCAAGAAAAACAAAGTCTAGAAGTTGACGTGTGAAAACGCTCGTGTTGGTAGTTTAATGATCGGGTCAAGTATTTGGAGTGAACGAAGTTCTCACTGCTTATAATATAAATATATACACAATTTAACATACAAATTTATTGCCAGTCATAATTTCAAACCAATTTTCGCATGAGAAATTATTGAAGCATATGAAATGTATTTCCTAAGAAGGTAACTAGTAGGAATATTTACAAATTTGCAACTCATGCAAAAAAGAAGTAACTACACAGCAAGTAAAACGCAGCTCTGCGGAGTTGAAGGTTGTGACAGAAGCATGACGCAACGTTCGATTAAAGCCACAAAGGGGCGGCGCCTACCTTGGACAGTGAAATGAACGTATTTCTCGTAGTCTGGTCTACAGTCCACAAGAGCACATAGTTATACAGAAATTATATAATGTAGAGTCAAAAAGGAATATAAACGGTCTTCAACGTGTTTATAAATCTGGAAAACTTTTCAGCAAAGATCTTTTTTGGCTGGTTTTAGCTGAGTTGGTGCGTCTCGGAGCGTATCAATTTGTTGGTATCCAGTCATATATGCTTAAACTTGTGGGATAACGGTTTCAACTCTTGGATTTAGGTGTAAGGAAGTTGTGGTACCATTTTGTCAACACTGGTCAATATGGCTGCAAACAAAAGCCTGGAAATACCGCGCTTGTCTGGACTCGAATGCGATGGCTGCAGTTGGAACACTTACCTTGCTATGAAAGGCCTGTCAGATGTTGGTGGGATTTAGTTTTCCCCAGTGTTTTGTAAATTTCAGTATAAAGGCATAGTATACAAAACAGAAATTATTTTCATTAATGTGGCTCAATACAGTTTTCACCAAAGAATTTGGAATTGGTTCATAACTTCTAAATAGATTACTTAGACACATGTAATATTACTGTACGCGGATTACAGAGTTTGGCACAGTGTAAGGCCTGCTTATCGCTATTGAGAGGGGCACCTACAGAACTCACACTGGATAGGGGTTTCTTTCACTGATAGAATGGGGTAGACAAGAAAATAGTTCTTGTTAATGAAGTACAAATACACCAAATATCAAGTTAAAGCTCCTGGCTTTAATACCTCTCAAAATTGGAAAGAAACAAAGCACAGACAAATACAATGAATAAATTCACCTTATGCCTCGCCCATTTTGTGTTAGAAATGGGATTGTGATCCGGATTCGGATTGGGTTTGATTCTGATTTTGATTCCCTATCGATTTGGATTCTATGTTTTTGTTATATTACTTCAAACCCTGGGACGAAACGGTGTGCATTGCCCTGTGATACTTGTTTACTACTCCAGAAGGACCATTGGAATCTACCAGGTGTGCTTGTGATTTACATAACAAAGGAAGTTTACGATCTACTGATTTGCCTATACGAGACAGTATTGGCAAGACCACATTCTGATTGGCTCATGTGGAAACCCAGGTAGTTCCCCCGAATCTGGGCCATTTATGCCTATAATGCGGACAGTTGGGGACAATCATTTCAACTGTGTGCCCAGTGTGTAGCTGCTGTGATATTGTAAGACAAGTGATACAGACTGAAACCATCATTCTGTGAGACTTGTATGAACTGCTCTGCAATCTCCTGCTTTCAGGGGTGCCTTCCAGATTAACAGCGTTCCTCTGCAAGCAAGACTCCTGTATGTCTTCGTTGTTGTGTTGCAGAAGCCATTGGCTGTCATCAATTTCCACAATCAATTTCCCTAAGCAATCCCCTATTTTAGTGAATTTATTCATTGTATTTTCTGTGCTTTGTTTCTTGTAATTGGCAGTGGCAGTGAAAGAAATCCCTGTCCAATGTGAGTTCTTTGGGTGCCCATCTCAATAGCATTAAGCAGGCATTACACTTTGACAGAGTTATATACACTAGACTTTATGTGTTAATAAACACGACCTGTGCGATTTTAAAAACTCAAGGTAATGAAACAGTGTCTGGTACTACATTTCGAAAAGGAAAGTAGGTGGGGTGAACTTTTTTGTAAAAATAAGGCAGTTGCATTTATTTTTCTTTTACTAACACATGCGCATTAACACGTGTTTACACGCTAAAACACGTTCACTTCGAAGCCATCACATTACATTCGGGAAATTGTATTGGGCAACTTTAAAACAAGTCACGAAGATTGCGCATCTCAAATCCCTATCGACATGAAGGCGGTGTCTCCAAACTACACATGCCCGGCCAAGCGTGTAGCCGAAACAATGTGTGTACACTTTAAAGACACGTTCTGACCAGCAAATCCGCACGCCCGCGTTCCCGTTGCTGTATTATTGGGAGACATATCAACCACTCAGGAATTTATTTTTTTGTTGAGCAATATTTGACTATGCACACATTATATAGCCATTAACTGATCGCTTAAAGCATTTTTAGACTTGTTTTTCCAAAGTT